CGAGGCCCAGGGCGGCCAGCGCTGGGTGAGAGGCGATCGGGCCTGCGGGCGGGCGCGGGGGGCTCCCGGGCTCGAGTCTGGAACCTTCGGACAGGGGGGGCTCGGCGGGAAACGTGACGTCACGCGGCCGGGCATTGTTCTCGGCGGGGCTGTGGCTGGAGGCAGCGATCCGGGGTTCCGGGCGCGCTGTGCCCATCCCGTGTGTTTCTCCCGCAGGTCAGCTCGGCCGAAGGGGCGGCGAAGGAGGAGGTGAGCGTCCGCGCCCTGCCTCGGGGCTGGGGAGGGTGGGTGGGGGTGCGCCGCTGGTCTTTCCGGCGTTCTCGCTCATGGTGCCTTTTCTCTCCCCAAGCCCAAGAGAAGATCGGCGAGGTTGTCGGCTGTAAGTATAGCGACCTTCCAAAGCCTTCGTTTGCCTGGGGATCGCGCACCGTCCCAGCGCGCTCAGAGCTGCTTTCTCTTTTCAGAAACCTGCTCCTGCAAAAGTGGAAACGAAGCCCAAAAAAGCAGCGGGAAAGGTAGGTTTCTAAACTTCAGCGAGTCGCGAGAAAGGCCACGGGGCTGCTTGATGTCTGGCTTTTTGTTGCTTTTACTTTCCAGTGGAAGTTTTTTGTATGTATTTTAATAATTTCGGTAGGTTTGTTTTTAGGCCTGGGTATAACGTAATCCAGGAGCAGAACGTGTCAAATAAATGCTGAACTACCGGTCAGAAGGAAAGTTAAGGTGTCAAAATACTAAAATAGGAACTTGAGACTACAAAGGAAACGTGTTCACCGAGGTGTACACCATGGTTGCTGCTGGCCCGCCAGTGCATGCCTGCGCTCCTAACACCAGCCTCCACGCCAGGACGAGAGCCAGAGGGGAACAGGAAAGTTCGTGTGTGTATCAGTTCCCCTCCGGCCAAGATCTGTATCTCTATCCATCAAGAGTTGTGTTTACTGAAAACAGGACTATCCGAATTCTGAAAGCATTTGGAGATGCAGTGAGGAATAATTTTGTTCTAAGGGTGAGTGCAGGCTGCAGGTCTTTAAGATGACATTCTCCTTGGTTTACATTCAGTTGATCACTTTTTCTGTGAGGAAAACAGAACACATGGAAGTTAGGTTTAAACTTGGGTTTGGGTGCGGCATTGTAACCACACTCTTGTAAGGCTCTACACGTGCTCCATGGTGTGATTTTATTTCTTTCCACTCAAAACTTGCTGAAGTTTGCTCTTTGAAGTCTTAAGAAAAGCCTTACACTGGCACTCTTTTCCTAAAACATGGAGGGAAATTTAGCACTGCGTGATCGCACAGAGAGATAAGATTAACACATTGCCAATACCGCCTTGAACCACTGGCGTTACACGCATGGCTGGTCTGTCCCATGTCCGATGGGAGGCTTGTACCACAGGATGGGATAGTCCTATGTGTAACCCCCCGCATCAGTTTTCAAGCAGTAAAATAGTCACAGGGCCATGGTGAACACATGTTAATTTTCTCAGTGGGGAGGGGCCTTAGATAAACAGTTGAGTGGGCCTTTGTTAAAGATACACAGCAGGGCTTTTTAATGTTGATACTATAGAGAGCTGAATGCAAAGTTGTTGTTTTCAAGAAAACATTCTGTTTTGTGATCTAGAAAGTAAAGTTTCAAGGAAAGTAAGTGTAGTATATCAGCTGAAAATTTCTCATGCCAGAAAATAACTCAGTAATTCTCTGGTCAGCAGAGGACCACAGAAATGCTTTTTCGTGGATGCCCAAAGAAATAGAAAATCTTTTTCCAAAATGCTGACTTGAGGAATTTGTTGAAATCACCTCGATTTTTTTTTTCTTTTGGATTTTTTTTTTTTTTTTAAACAAAATATTGCCTCAACAAATAGTTGTCTGGTCCTCTTGTGGGGTTTTGTTTTGTTTCTCTCTGTACCGGTGATTGAACTCAGAACCTTGCTCTTGCTGGGCAGGTGCTTATGGCTGCTGAGGTATTTCCGTGGCCGCTGTCCTCTGCTCTCTTTACTTGCTCTTGATCATCCTTAAAATGTTTTAAGTGAAGATAGTTCAGAATTTATCCCAGTGGATTGAAGGGGGCAAATGGAATAACCAACAGGTAAGTTTTTCAGTCAGTGTCCCTTGCGGGACTTACTCAGTTTTCCTAGAGGAAAATTTGGGAGATGCATTTTTCTTTTATTTATTTATTTTTAATCTAGTTTTTATAATAACCTGTCTTGATAATTCAGTCTTATTAAAGCTTATTGATTACTGTGGTAGATAAAGTACTTCCATATTACTTTTAATATGAGCTTCTGACTTGTATCATTTCCTTAGAAGTAAATACCTGTATCAGAAAGCCTGAAAACTTGGGAAAACTAACTTTTGAAACTTCTCCCTGTGTGTGTGGGGAGGGTAGTATTGATTGAACCTAGGACTTGGAGCGTATTGGGCAAGCACTCTGCCACCAAGCTGCACTGCAGCCTCTACTTCAGTGAGACTCCCTTTCTCCAAACAGGGATGGAGGCTGAGTGTGGTGCTACATGCCTGTAATCCCAGCACTCAGGAGGCTGAGGCAGGAGGATCGTTGTGAGTTCGAGCCCAGCCTAGGCTACAAAGTGAGCTCAAGCCGAGTCTGAACTGCACAGAGAGACCCTGTCTCAAAAAGACTCCCCCCTCCTCAAAAAAGAAAAACAAATGGGGACGGACCCAGGACCTTCCAGTTCCCCACACTGCCCTCAGACTTTTAAGTGTCCTGCCTCAGCCCCCTAGAGTGCTGAATTACCTGAACAGGCATTTGCCACTCCACCAGATTTATTGTCTCTTGTTAAAAATGTGAGTCTCAAAGATCTCGAAAGAGCATTTGTGGTGGACTAAGGTTTTATTACATTGCCATGTTAGGGAGGATAGTGACTGTGAAATTAGTCATCTAAAGAAATCTCATTACAAAGAAATAGCTTTTTTGGGGGGTGGGGTACTGGGAATCAAACTCAGGACCTCAGGCTTGCCAGACAAGCACTTACGCCACTGAGCCGTATCCCCAGCTAGCCTTTTGGTATAGAAGGAGTTGTGACACTTCTGTAGCAGTGTTGTCCCAGATATATTTGCATGTATAATTTGATATTTGCCAGGCATGGTGGCTCACACCTATAATCTTAGCACTCTGGAGGCTGAGGCAGGAGCATCACTGCAAGTTCGAGGACGGCCTGAACTACATAGTGAGTTCAAGGCCAGCCTAACTACGTGAGACCCTGTGTCAAAAAAAAAGTTAAGTGTATAATTTGGTATTTACCTTAAAGATTTATTGAGTTAATAGTCATTGCTGTTGGTTTATGGAATGTAACCACTGATATGATTTCTCCTCCTCTTGTGTCAAAGGTGTGAGATGTACTTTCGTATCTTTAGCCCCTTTGACCTGTCAGTACTGTGTAAAGATGGTTTTTTTTGTTTATTGATGAATGATATCTAAAAACAGTTTTATATTGCTTTAAAGTGGCTTAAATTTTGAACATTACAGTGTGTCAGGTTATGTATTACTAATACCTATACTTTTCAGAATCTTCAGACATCTAAATGAAAATGATAAAGTCAAAATTGATCCTTTTAGGGAACTGGCGGTTTAGTTCAGTAGCACAGCGCCTGCCTGGCAAGTGCAAGGTTGTGAGTTCGATTCCTGGTACCCGAAAAAAAACAACAACAAAAAAATCGATCCTTCTAGCTCATTATGTGATACCCAGGGACTAACTCGCCGGATAGCCAACATGGCTATACAGCATGGTTCTTTCCTCAGGTGAATGGTCTGTGTGAGGGGAAAGGTCTTGTCAGGACAGTGCTTCTCTGGCATTGGATTATTGCCGTGCCTAAGAGAAATAGGGGTAGGTAGAGTCCCCCTGGAAAGACCCTACAGGGGCCTCTTCCACTGTGCTTGTTCTGTGGGGTAGCGCCACGGAGCAGTGGGTGGTGAGGTCAGCCTTCTTGGCTAATGAGCTCGATGTTCAAGGCCTACTGTCGACTGCCCTGGCCGCATTGCTTGCCTTGGTGCTGTGGTGAGCTGATGTTAGCTCAGGCTGACATCCTGCTGTGTACTGTGGCATTAGTGTGGCAGCCGTCAGGGCCATAATCTGTATCCTGTCAAAACCGACGCGGGAGGCTGTTCCTGAAGGTTCTGTTTTATTCTTTCAGGATAAATCTTCAGACAAAAAAGTGCAGGCAAAAGGCAAAAGGGGAGCCAAGGGAAAACAGGCTGAAGTGGCTAATCAAGAAACCAAGGAAGATTTACCTGCGGAAAATGGAGAAACTAAAAACGAGGAGGTCAGAGGCCACTGTGTGTGGTGATTGGGGTTCTGAACGTGGGATCTGTATGGGCGTATGTATGTAAATAAGGGGAAAAGTTCATTTTGTTGATTTTGTTTGTGTGTGCAGTGCTGGGGGTGGAACCCACAGCATTCACACTAGGTTACATCCCAACCCTTCTGTTACTTTTGAGACCAGGTTCTCACTTCTAAGTTGCTAAATGCCCAGGCTGGAGTCACTCCAGGCTCTGCCTCCCAAGTGCTGGGGTTACAGGTGTGCACCACCACACCTGGCTTCTTGGTATGAAATGTGGAAAACGTAATTAACTCACTTTGCTTTCACATGAATGTGGGGGCTTTTGAAACAAATTACTAGTGTTTTTATTTGTTTCTACTTTTTAGATTGCAGCGGACAGGCTTGAATTTTTGTTTGTTGTTTTGGGATGGGATGGGCTTTCACCTTAGCCTCCCAAATAGCTGCCACATGCCCCTCCAGCTTTGTGTTTCTTGGGTTTTTCTGGTTTTTGCTTTGATACCCATTTCCTGGCTTGATTTGTTAGGAAGATAGTAGAGTGGATATAGTAGTACATGCCTGTAGCTGTGATGAGGATCGGGTGTTCATAGCCAGTGTAAAGTACATAACGAAACAGTGTCTCAAAAAAGAAAGTAGGCTGAGGCAGGAGGATTGCTACAGGTTTGAGGCCAGCCTGGGCTAGTTCAAGACCCTATCTCAAACCTTACAGCCTACTTATTTTTTAAAGAAATAAGTTTCTTTTCCTTGTAGCTTAAAAGAACAAAGGTATTGGGATTCTTCCTTTCATCTGAGCTACTAGAGGCTGAGGATATGGCCCAGTGGTTGAGGCCTTCTGGGTTCAGACCCCAGTGCTACAAAACAATACACAAAACGTTAACAGTGAAAACCCTGCTTTCTTTTTTTTTGAGACAGGTTCTTGTGTAGTGCAGGCTGGTGTTTAATTCACTATGTAGTCGAGGCTAGCCTTGAACTCACAGCAGTCCTCCTGCCTCAGCTTCCCCAGTGCTGGGATTATAGGTGTGCATCACCATGCCCAGTGACTTTTTCTTTTTCTAATGTTAGTTTCTTAGTTACTTTGACTACGTTAGACAAGATACATAGGATTTTGGTTTGGTTTTGGTTTTGTGTTTTTTTTTCCTTTGGTACCGGGAATCAAACTCAGGACCTTGCACTTGCCAGGCAGGCACTTGTGCTGCTGAGCTACATCCCTGGCAGATTTTTAAATTTTTTGCTGTTCTGGTTTGGGTTTTGGGGGTTTGATTTTGTTTGTAGGCACATCACAGCTTTCTTCTGCTTAGCAACACTGGACATCACACATACTGCTTGGGGACCAATTTAAACAGCACAACAGATTACCAAGATATGATGCATGTGGCTGTAAGTGGGACACAGTAAAGGTGGTTTGCATACTAGGACTTGGAGTAGGTAGATTTGCATGTGCAGAATCTAGGGATGCAAGACAGCTGTATTTTTTAAGAATAACAGTTACATGGGCAGGCATGAGGTGTACATCCCTTGTAATTCCAGGGGTCTTGGGGGCTGTGGCAGGAAGGATCACAAGTCTTTAGGATTGGGTTTACGTTTTGGATCATAAGTTCAAACCCAGTGTAAGCAATTTAATGAGTTACTGGGATGCTGCCTAAAAAATTCTAAAGGGCCAAATATGCAACTTGGTGCAGAGGCCCTGGATTCAATCCCCAGTAGCACAAAAAATACTGGTTATGTAAACATACATTTACATGTGCGCTAAGCACTAATAATCATCTCATGGCGGGGCCGTGGCAGATTTAGCTGTTTGCTCTGTTGTTTCTTTTGATTTGGAGAGTGCAGCTTCTGACGAAGCAGAGGAGAAAGAAGCCAAGTCCGATTAATCACACACCGCGTCTTACCAGTGCTCCCTGTCTCCCTTCTTGTACAATCCAGAGGAATATTTTTATCAACTATTTTGTAAATGCAAGTTTTTTAGTAGCTCTAGAAACATTTTTAAAAAGGAGGGAATCCCACCTCATCGCATTTTTTAAGTGTAAATGATT